GTAAACTGAGATTTATAATCTAACTTCAAACCATTGCTTCAGGTTCCAAAACACACATACCATGGTTTTTTTCTGGTGTGAGTTCACTCATTCAAGCAAACCCCAATAAGGCTAAACAAATTTTGGATTACCATTATATATGTGCCAGGTCTTGAAGAGAATAGTAGACAACAAGGCAACGGTGAGTAAATAGTTCTGCAAGATGTTCCATTTGAAAACTGATATAATTTCATATAAAATGACATACCAACAAAACAAGCCCCTGCATATGGGCTTACCCCTTAGTCAAGAAAGCCCAGTGTACTGTCAATACTAAGGATGTTCACTTCCTATAATGCAATGGAAAATGTAATGATAACAATGTAGTTAATATCTGAACAGAGGGTATATAGATGCTACACTTCAGTGGATATTTATGGGTATTTTGTCTGCCTTTCTCTCAAGTACACACATTCAACATTCTAATCTGTATAGTTCTACACACACATGCACACACTTTTTTCCTGTTTTCCTTTTTTATGATTTTGTTTTGTTGATTCTGTGTGTTTGTGTGTGAGCATTCCAAACAAAAGTAACCATTTTAAAGGCTGCAATCTAGCACGCATTCACTTGGGAGCAAGTCACTGAATGCAGCAGGACTTACTCTTGACAACATATACACAGGAGTGCATTGATATCAGTAGTATTTAAAGGTGCTGAAAGGAGGGTGACTCATGCCCATCTAAAAAGAATTAAGCACATGCTTAACTCTCCCACGGAAAATAAATCATATTTCAAACTTTACATCTCCAATTGTTAGCTGCATCCAGAATCCACAGCTAAGAAGACATTGCATTAACACTAATATAGCATTATGTGGCAAATTGTTTGGTGCTTGAATATACAAACCAGCTCAAATACCTTGCATTACCCAAAACACATGAGAAAAAAATAGACCAACTACATACAATTCTTACAAAATACTTCAGGGATGAGCAAATGTAACTTGCTAGAATACTGTGTGTTACTATGATAGTCATATGTCACTCTAAACAGTAACATAGTCTCACAGTAAACATCTCATAACCTTATGAAAACAAGCCAGTTGGACTTAGTCCTGGTTGGTAATTAATGTGCAATGGTATCCAGCCAAGATTAGTTCTGTGCTAGAATAAAACATATGGAACAGTGCTTAAGCTTACATCAGAGCTGAATATTGAACATTTCAGTTACATTATTTATCTCTTCCTTTTCTGTTGTATAGTGTGTTCTATTAAGATCCAACATGTGATGAATTCATCCTCCACTTCACTGAAGATTTAACGATGACTCACAAATGTGTTTTCCAACACCTTCCCTTGAAGCATTTTTACAATTTTGCTTGCAGTTCTTTAGATGAAGCATTAACACTTATTACTTCTCTAAAACCACACATAGACTAACCCCACAACCTTATGGAAGGACATCTAGAATATGATGAACTGTAGAAGTCTTCAAAGCAGGGTTTAAAACTCTAAACTATTATTCCATACTGATGTGGACAACAAAGAATTTACTGGGATTTATTTCATCAGTGTGTACATGCTTTTGAAGCTGCTGCCTGAAGTGAACAGAGTCTTAACTATTATAAAATATTTAAGCCTTCATACATATCAAATAGTCTGAGGTAGAGTTACAAGGGCAATCTCTTATCAGTTAAGCAAATAGCTGGGCTCAAACATTTCTCTAGCCCTAGAATAGATCATTAACACTGGGCTGTATCCAATGTATCCCTGTACTAGTGCTAATAATGCACAATATACAGGAAAAAATCTGCAATAGATAATTCCTTTTTCCCTTTGGACTTGTGACATAATACACCTGTTGGCTTATGCTAGCGCAGTGGCAGTAGTGCTAGAGGCAGTGTACACCTGAATAATTCAAAGTCTTATATTAATGGAATTATTTGCCGAAGATTTTCTCTTACTGTGGTTTAAGAGCGTAGTTTCAGCTAAGCTCCTATCTATTTACTATACAGATTGCCTGCTTTGTCACCTATTGCACAAAGCTATTTGGTAGGTATCAAGTAGATCAAACTCTTCCATTTAATAAAGCATCAAACAGCCTTCTAGATATATTACTCTAAATATTGAGACATTCCAAGTTACAACTTATATCTAAGTTTGCCTTGAGAATACTGGGATGGCAGGGAGAAAAATAGGTTAAAGTAACAACCACATATAAAGCTGCATAAAAATACCATGTAGGAAACACAGGGGAAAAGCAGTAAGTGACAACACAAAGAGCCATCTTTACTTTTTAATGCTTCCATGTAAAATGTTGGTTTAGCTTCCAAACTTTGTGTACCACAAATTAGAAACAAGTAGGAACAGTATGGAATCTTTATTAAAGATCACTAATCTTTAAACTAAGATTACTAAAACACTAAATAGCTGTCATCACTGGTTTGACATAGCAGTTGCTGTTCCACTCATAATGTGGAAGCTCTACAAATAAAACCCTTCCCAGGAAATCAAACTCTCAAACATTGTTTATATTTGTAGGCCATCACACTTTCCAGTGAATTATCAACCCCTAGCAGAAGAAAAAGGAGAGAAAAGGTAAAAACCCTATAAAGCAGGGGTCTCAAACTCGCGGCCCGCAGGCCAATTGCCGGGATGGGCAGGGCATGGGGAAGGGGCCCTGGGGCCTTCAAAGCGCCGGTGGCGCTTGGGCCGGCCGCGGGATGAGCGGCCCACCACCACTGCGGTGGTGGAATACTTGATGTGGCCCAGCCTCACCCAGACTCTACTTCCAGCGGCCCCCAGGTAAGTTGAGTTTGAGACCCCTGCTATAAAGAGTAATTCATGTCCCGCTTCTAATATTTTAAGGTAAAACCCTATTGTTAACTATACACCTACAAATGTTATACCAGCCCTGTAATGTATGTTTGTTGATGAGTATTCCCCTGAAAAATATTCATAATTTCCATTACAATATATATTTCTAAGATCTCATGAGGAACCAGGAAATGAAATTTAATGTGTTCATTAGAAAGCATGGATAAGGTCACATTAGCTTCTCTTAAATACCTTTAAGTTAAAATTAAATTGCTTTTCAAAACAAAAACAAAAACAAAGACACTTTTTCAACTGATGTGATTTTTTGCCACAGTGTAGTAGGAAGGCTTTAAAATTGATTTTTTTTTAAATGGTGGCATTTTATGAGTTCTACAATGAGTTCTGGAACGTTCTTTCATATACTATTGAATTAGGGCAATCAAATGTTGTTGGAAGAGCTCAAACCATCAAGTTCTGTTGAAGGCAGTGGGATTATTTTAGAATAAACAGTATGATGAGTGTAGCATCATGACAATAGCCCTCATGTAGCTCTGTTACATGGATCTGGCGTGCTTCCGAGCAAAGGATTCCTACCATTACCAATCAAGAGGCATTGTGTATTTTTCTTCCTTGGGAGGTTTTTTTTTTCTCCTGGTAAGAAAAAGAGCAGGAAAAAGTGGTAGGAAAATAGGGGTTATAAATAGAAAATGAAGTTGTCTGAACCTCTGTAAAATTATGTGGATGAGGCAGAGATTGCACAATAAAAGCCTCATCTGGAAGCACCACTATACAGTACTTCCCCTTGGCAAGTGCTCCCCAAATTTCTTCTTCCCACACCATTCACAGGAACATATCCTCCCCCCACTCTTGCACTGGTGCTACACTGTGATGTATGAGGCTATATTAAAAAGCCTTCTACCAATAGTGTTTGGGGAAAAGAAAAGGCTGCAACTGTACTGTAAATTTACAAATAGCATAACACATCTTGGATAAGGAATGGGTAAAGAGCAGGTGTGGTGTAGAAACTAAACTACTGAGCTAGAAATCAGCAGTTTTCTGGTTCATATCTGTTGTAGAGTCACACAGTAGCCTTAGGCAAGCCACTCTCAGTCTAAACCTGCCATATTTGTAAGAAAGTGGAGAAAGCTTAACAATTTGGATCCGTATTTTCTTGAATCAAGTTGGCCATTGTCATAATCACTAGAGTGCCATGATTAGAAAAGTGCTGCTTTCCTTTAATGGTGGCCATGTGCTAATTTCATCCATTTCATAGGAAAGGAATGATATTAGGAACAATTTTATCCTAGCTTTTTCTAACCCAGTCATACTTTTGGCATATCCAGAGGTGGGATTATATTAAATAGTTTGCAGAGACTCCAGGCCCACCAGTCATTTGGATCCATGCCTGCTTTCAGTTCTGCCTATAAAATCTTAGCTTTACCCTTCTCCCTCACCTTTCTGCAGCTGGCTCCCTTTGAAAACACAGATGACCTCTGGAAAAGAACATCAATGTTCATCTCTGGTCTGAGGATTTCAGAATGGAGCTGCATATTACATTTAATTCTAGAGGGCCCTTAGAAACAGAAATGTCACCCTAAGGCTGAACCAGAAACAAGATTGGTGGCAGCAAGATTCTGATGGATGTTCTTAACTTTGTGGCATTTTTCTACTGAAAACAACATGTACACACAGATTCTTTTACCCTTCACAAACGAAAGAGATAAGAGAACCTGTACATTTTCTCTCCTGGGTACAGGGTATAGAATAGGGAAGGGAAATGGTTAAGCACCCCTTCTTCCTCCACGAACCCTGATTCACTTTGTATTGCAGACAGAGTACCCATATTAATTGAAATGCGTAACTATAAATAGTGCCATTCTCTCCTGGGTTGCTCTCTCAGTCTTCCAGATCAAGGTCCTTTTCAGTACAGATGCTACCATGGACTGGACCTAGGATCTTCATAACGCAAAATGTATTCTTTATCACTCATTTACTTCTATGAAGTATTATTAAGTTCTGCTACCACTGAAGCCTTCTATACTAAGCATGCATGCTGAGCTCTGGGGTGGAATGAGAACAATGGCACACTTGCATGTTAATAAATGGACCTGTTCTCTGTTTAATAAAAATAAATGCCATGTAGCAGTGTTACTCTACCAAGGAAATTATTTTACATGCATGGAGAAATAATTGGAAACAGCATTTTGCTTGGTGTTTATTTTCTTCTGCTTGATTCACAAAAGCTCTTCAGGAATGAAAATGGTTCCAACATACTTAATATTGCTGAATCTCTTGTAGTATTATTAGATAGACATGACCAGGAAAACAACTTGCTTTAATTATCAAAAACTATGAAATCGATTGCTTCCGAGATCACGAGTTTGTTTCTTTTTTGTGGGTGAAAAACATCTCCTTGGTTAATAAGGTGTTTACACTTCTTAATGTTCCAGGAGACAAATTAATTTCTCATAATGACAGCAAAGGAAGCAAAGTTGAAACTTATTATCATTTCCCATTCTTTCATAGCTGGGAACATTCCAGTGGTGCTCTACATAAGGTATTGAATTAGCTTTTAAATGCTTAAGACTATTAACTGAAGTAAAAACGGGGAGGAAACATCCACAAAAACAAAACAAAAACCCTTCTGTCAAATAAATTTTAACTGCTAAAATGATTTTTCCCCAGATGGCAATATTTAAATGGCATAAATTTAAAACAGCATTTTTAGATGTAGTTTTCAGATATCCATGGTGTTGACTCATATTTTCTCTTAGCTAAAATTCATCCATATACTTATTCGGGACTCTTTTAAAAAAGCTCTTCATGAAAAGAGAAACAACCCATATCTTCATTGCATTTCCATGAAATATTGCTCTGAGTTCGTTCCTTTAAAACAGGAACATAGTATATAGCCTTCCTGAATAAATCAAAATAAATAGCCTAGGATGATATACAGAGTGGAGTCCAACTAGCTTGCTTCTGATGATGGAAGGATTCAATTAATAGAATGAGGAAAGGTGCTCCCTTGAGCTATGTTCCACCAAAGACCTTAGATAAAGTATAAAAAATCCATCCATGAGCATCCTGCTCGTTTTTTTTTGGCCAACAGGCTAGTCAGAAAGGAACTGTGCCCGTCAAAGCTATCGTTTGCATCTCTTGTTACAGTGGATGAGTCTTTTAATTATGATGGTTTTTGCTAACCAGTGCTAAACTAGTAGGCTTTTGAGATGTTTGTTCTATTGCAGCATTTGTAGTCACCTTTTCAACACGGTTTACAGCACTGCATTGGAGAGAACAGGATGTGCAGTTACCCTAGGTGAACTAGTGAGTGGCAGCTTGAAAGTCTGATTTACACTCTCCTCCAAAACATAATTAGTGACAATTACTATATTAATGCTTATCACTGAGATCTGCCTCTTTGTTTTACAGAAACATGATGAGCTCCCTCCTTCATACAAGTCCTCATCCACATTTTAAGTCAATCCACTTTTATTATAGCTGCTACTACCACCTGAGGTAACAACCACAATTTTACCCTTTTTATTCTTGCCTGGGAAACTAAAGACACGTTGTGATTATGTATCTTCTCTTACATCCTGACTATTCTTGGGAGTGGGATGTTTCCACATATACTTGACTTCCGTCACTGTTCCAAGGTTGAGTCAAAGTCCATCCATATTCACTTGGATTTCATGATGTCTTCCCATTGGACAGGATGTGCTGCATTTTTAGGAATTGATGGAAACAGTGATTGAATTTTGCTCCGAAATTCAGTCATCTACAAGAAAGGTCAGAGAAATATGTTTAACACTACCACATCAAAGTTAGGGACATACTACATCTTCACTTAATCAAATAAATATTTTCTTTGAAGTACAGAAACAGAAATTCTGAAATACGGTTTTTCTCCTTATAGGTGTGTTATCTCTAAATATTTTATTTTCTCTCCTTAATCTTGAAGGACAAGATCATACAGAAACATATAACATCTTCTCTGAGGCTAACTATGGCAATGCTAACTAGGACTGCCCTTACAACCAGAATTCAAAATCAGAGTTTGCTAGAATTAATCATGATGAATATTAAAACAGATGCACTGCTACACCTTGGTTAAAGCAAACCATGAAACAGAAAAAATGTGCAAGAGGGAGTAATGCACACGTTCTTGACATACTCCCATTATCTTAACCATAATTACTATGTACAACTCTTATTTGCAGATAATTAGTTTCAAGCCGCAAAAATTCTTAGAGGCAGCAACTTAGTAGACAACAAGCTAAGGAATTTTTCTGGGTTACTGAATCTAAGCTGATCTGAGTTTAAGATCAGCTTAGATTCAATAACCTACAGTCTAAGTGCTGTATGGTGAGTTATCTGGAAACTTCATACACCTACAATTCTGTGATGGCAAAAATGTAGCATGTAAATATAAATAAAAAGCAAGGGATCCATTAGGAGATTGCAAAAAGGAACAGAAAACATTATTTCCTTGCAATACTAGCAACAAATGAGCATTTGTTTTATTTTGTGCCTTGACTAAATGAAGCCCATGTTTATGTTTCAAACATGCCAGGTGTATTATCCTTAAATAAAAGCATCAGGCAGCTACTTCTTACCTTAGCATGACAGAATTCATTATAACATTAGCCCTGTTCTGGCAATCACCTAAATGCATGAGAGCTTTAACTGCCTGGGAGAACAGGGCTGCATCCACTGGACCCACCAGCTGTGTACTCAGGCTTGCCATACTGAGCATCTCTGAAGGGGTGTTCTACTTGCATTTGCTTGGGCTCAAGTGGAACTCCCTGTACAGCTGTGGCCCTCCGTTTATCAGCATTACCAATTGTGTGAAGAGATCAACTTGTATTGAAAAGAAATGCAAGGAAAATGCTGCTTCAGGCATCTCTGTTCAACATGGGGTGGGGGCTGGAATGCCCAGGGATAAAACTATTCATTTATTTATTTACTGTTTTTTTATAAACCATTCTTTGCTGGGCACTCTCAGAATGTTGTACATCGATTAAAACAATTTAATACACAAGATCAGAACATATATACAATAATCATAACAATTTAAATATAATAAATCATAATGAACCAAGTAAATAACAACAACACAGTAACAACTGATAAAATAAGTTTAAAATCACGGCCTTCTATTCAGCAATTAAAATAATACGCAAATTAAAAGGTATTAACTAGGCACCAAAATGTATAAAGGATTGGTGCCAGGCCCACCTCCCTGGCAAAGTGATTGCATAATCAGGGTGCCACTGCCAACAAGGCCCTTCCCTACATGGCCATCTTCCTTATTTCTTTTAAGGGTGGCTCCTGGAGAAGAACCTCCATAGATGATCTTAGGATATGGGTAGGTGTATTTGGGAGGATCTCACTCATTTAAGCTGTCAGGCTAATGTCTGAACAAGGCTCCAGTCAGTACTGGCTCTAAACATTTTCGGTGGAGGGCACCCCGCACTGGCATCATCCCCACTGCCCATTTACTTTCTCACTTCTCTGGACCCAATCCACACAGCCACTTTAAAAAAGAGTGTGACATAAACAGAAACTGCTGTTGCTTCTCCTTGCTCTTATCCGTGCTCAAGCTAAAAGTATAGATTACACAGATTATTTTGGACACATTTGGCAATTTGAAACACTGTCCTAAACAACATGGCTGCATTGGGAGGCACAAAGACAAGTAACCTGTCCCTACAACATAAAATGCTCAGTGCTCATCAGATACAGATGCACACAGTTCCCTCCAAGCACTGAGATTGCTTCCAGATGGCTCCCCTGCAGCACTGGCTTCCCTCAATTTCATCCCCCAAGCTGGTTTATCGTTGCTTTCCCTAGCCCTGCACAGCACATGCTTCGCCTCCTGGCTGCTGCCAGCTTAAACAGGCAGAAGTAATAGGCCTCTCTTTCTCCCTCCACCTTTTTTTCTGGTGGGTGGGCACTGTGGAGAGAAATGCATCAGCCTGAAACCAGCTTGGGAATCCTCATTTCCCAAGAATGTCCCTGAGCCTACATAGCATAATAGAATTGGTGAACAACAAAGATGGCAGTGAATGGAGGCTCTCACTGTGCTTTGCAGGGATCTCAGCTGCCAGTCAGACTTTTTAAGCAGGAGGGGTAGGGAACATTGGTGCAGTCATCAATAAAGTTGTCTGGAGGCATCTTGGTGCCTGAAGGCACTATGTTGTCTACCCCTAAGGGAGACGAACCAACCAGGAGTGACAGCCAAGAGGAAAATCAGCAAAGCTAGGGGACTACTAGGGTTGACAATGGACCTTCTGAGTACTCTCCAGGTGGCCAACAATCCCAACTCCTGAACATACTGTTCCTTAGTATAAATTTCTAAGAATTACATCTAATATGTCCCGACACTTATCATCTCAGCACATCTTACTTGCGAAGGCAAGTCTTTAAAAAGAATTTCAGAACATAGCAGAACTTTTATTTTCACATTGCCTAAAGAAAAAGAAGTGCCTTTGGTGATTTTCTTGAGGAAAACACAGAATGCAACCATTCCATTTCAGACTGTCAGTTTTTTGGCCCCAAAAAGAATATTATCAACACTTAACTATGTCAAAACTTGAAACAATTAAGAGATCACAGTTATTTTCTCATCTTAACCTAAGGATCCTGCATCAGAAAGCAAAAATAAAGGGCTCTAAAAGCATATTTCATTATATGTATTGTACATTACTATTTAAATGTACAGCACTGACAAGATGTCACACAAAAAATGAGACTATGTCACTGCATAGCATCTCTGCATATGTTCAAGCTAATCTGAGTGGAGTAGGGAGAAAAAGAGTCTTATCTATTGGAATGGTAAGAGATTCTACAGTGGCCAACACAGATCTTAGTAAGTTTACTAGTCTTCTAATTTTTATTTATTCAGTTATTTCTTCAAAGCACATGCACATGGTGGGCATGGCATGAGCAGAGCCGGCTGGAGCTGGGGGTCAGACGAGATGGCCTGGGAGACCCCTTCTGAGTCATTATGTTTCTATTATGCCTCATCCATAGGGCTCAAAGAAAGTATTTAATTCTTTTCAAAAAACACAAAGATAACAGAAATCTAATAACAGAGGAATTAAAATTAATTTTAAAATTATTCCACATCTGTTTAACACAAGCTGTTGAATGGTATGCCTCAAGTAGGAAAGCTTTATAGCTCTTCTAGAAAGTTCTGAGGCTTGAACTTTTGTTAACTTCTAAGAAACGACATTCCACAATTATGGAGCAGCCACTGAGAATATGCCTCCATCTGCCTTTGTTGTCTGAACCTCACATGTAAAGATGGTACAGTCAAAAAGATGCCTTTAATTGACTTTAACATTTATGATGAAAGAGAAGGAGGCAGTTTTTCAAATATGGAAAAAGCCCAAGCCACACTGGACATTTTAAGCAAAAACAGAACTTTGAATTGTGCCTGGAAGATAAACCATCTGGGCAGCTTTGGCTAGTGGACAGTACAGAAATGTCACAAATATAATAATAATGACAACGAAGATGATGATGGCCCTCTGGCATGATGTGCCCCCATTTAATGCTTGTGACATTAAGTGCTTCCATTTTACTTTCTTGTGAAAAGAAACAAGATTCTTTGAACCAGAGTCCTGACTGGCAGTAAAAACAAGCTATGAGCTTCTTCTCTATTCTGCATAAGATCAGAGAGGGAGCTCTCTGCTAAAATTGGAAACCTTAGATTTGATTGAAAGCATTACAGGGAGATGCTGTTGATTCCAGTGCCCCACCCCAAACAATGTCAGATGCTATCTCTGTCACATCAATTATCAGAGCATGAAGAAAATATCAAGTTAACCTTATGAAACAGATTATCTTAGTATCCCAGGAGGAAAGCATTATTCTAGAAACTGCCCTAAATGTTAAATATTCAAGGATCAAACTAGAAATGATGGGGTAGTCATGCATAGCTTGCACACATATTTGCTTTATTTACATCTCATGAGGGGCTGGGGTGGTGGTCTTTTTAAACATATACACATGTGTGTGCATGCATAGGAGCGCAAAGGAAAAGAATACACTATGTCCTACCTTATCACACCTCACTGCTTTAACCACTTTTCTCCCTTTCTGGGTCAATTCTGATACTGCAGTTGGGCTAAAGGGAAACTGCTTTAAAAAGTAGTAGGATACGCTGAAGGGTGTGAAGCTTATGAAAAAAGTATTTAACAAGTTTGTGGAAGATAGGTCTATAAATGGCTGCTAGTCGTAACAGTATATATGGAACCTCCAGGCTCTAAAGCCATATACTGCATTTCATCTAGTTTTATGCAAAACTCTTCCTTGCTGAATCAAGTTCAAAAATTAGTGTATAAACAGAAACAGCATCAAAAGTAAAAATGGTTGGGCACTAGCCAAGGGCCTACACCCCAGCATGGACCTACAGACAAGTGCCCTAGCTGCTGCTCCTCTTTTTCATCATTGCAGTCTGTTTGTTTACAGGCCTCTTGCTCTGGCCTAGCCCATGGTGGTAGCAAGGAGGAGGAGCAAAAGATGCTTCCTTGCTGGCTGTCTACCTCTCAAGCAAGTGATAGCAATGATAAGAGGATGTGAGCAATAGCACCTGATGACAACAATAGTCAAAAGGTAGACTCTCTGACACACGTTTACACATAATGGCAGATTAAGTTGGCATGCATGCACCTATACTTAGTTGTTAGATTAACTCTAGGTTGTTTAACCCATAAACAACCCAACCTGTCCTGTCAGATGTCACAATAAGAACCTATACATGGGGCATGC